GTGTCGTTTACGTCCATTCAGTAAACATTGATTTTAAAATGCGCTATTGAAGTTATCACATTTTGCGTCAAAAGTTATTACATTTTGCGTAAGAGCAGTTATTACATTTWGCGTCAAAAGTTATTACATTTAGCGTTATTATTACATTTAGCGTTATTATTACATTTTGCGTTGTTATTACATTTTGTGGGAGTTATTACATTTTGTGGCGTAACATGAGGTTTAACGGATCAGTTTTGTTTCTCTGAATTTTTAATTGACGGAGCTTGTAATTTCTGATTTCACTCCATCTCAAATGGTCCAAATACTAGCTAAAAATATCGCATTATAATTACAAATAATATCAAATAGTCTGATGCTTTTTCAGGTATTTTCCCAAACACGTTTCCTTATCATTCTGTACGCTGATATTTTTCGACACAAACCTGTGATATTCCCTCCTTTCTTGTTCGTTCATAGATATCGTAGATTCGACCAATGAATTCATCAGCTTTGATAGTCCTAAGTAAATTTAAAAGAAGACTGAAATTTTGCAATTATACAGGTCCAAATGTACAACATACTAAATGATGGTGAAATAATAACATTCATTTAACACATTCATTTAACTTAAAAAGACGAATTCATCTTGACTCTTTATAATGGTTGAAATATTTCTTTATTGCGGTTTTCAYTACATGTATCTCAACGTCAAATCATAGAAGATAGCCCTTTTCATAGCTTTGCAGTTAACACTGACAGCTCCCGCAGCAATGWTTGGCTTCTAAATTAATAATCAGACCTTCAGTATATTACAGTGATAATTTTAAGGCGCAAGCTCAGGACGTGTAGTGATCTTCCGAATGAAAATGGATGAGTGCAAATATAACTCAACTAGATGATACAGAGCTATAAACGTTACAGAATTTTCTATAGATCTTAAACATATTTCCTATCAAGCTTAGATTTTAAAACGCTTTAGACCAAACCATGTCTCGTACCATAACATGAAACGTTACAGTTCAAAAGATATAACATAATTTATAGGACTCTTGTTGATAGTAGTATTTTTGTTACTGAAGGGAATACCCTGCTTAAATAAAGGTTTTCATTCATTCATGATTTGCATATCGGTTATATTGTAAGAATTAAGAGCCCGTCATGCGATATCTGTCTTGTTAAGATTTCATTTCACCCACGTCTCGTTCATACAGATGTTTTTAAATGACTTCCAAGTGACTTGCAAGTACAATTATCTTCAGACACTGCTTTTTAATGTCCGTGTTAGTATATATTTTTGCACTGAATTCGCATTGAATTTTTAAGGGCACGTGGGCACACGCCATGACCCATCTAAGAGTTTTACTTATAGCTTTTGACTACCGACACTAAAAACGGATGCGAGGGAGACTTTCTTGAAACCGGTTTTTCTAAAAGGAAAAATTCACTAATGGCCATTGGGATGTCACATTTTGTATATAAAAAATGAGGGCCACAATTTTATAAGTGTTTCACTTTTAGGTTTTTGGCAGCAGCGGATGTCATGCAAAAATTTTTTTCTTTCACTTTTTCGGTTTGGGATTGAAATGAACTGTACCAAGACCACACCGTTTCTTTAATCCCGTCTGATTGGCTATATTAATAATTATACTATTTTTTAATACTACTCACTTACCTTAAGACCTGTGTATTTAAAGATGATATTGACAAGGYTAGTTATGTTAACGAAAATTTCAAAATCATATACATTACTGACCCTYKTAAAGATTCTTTCAAGAATTCGTGGTYTTGGCTCACATTATATACTAAAATATTTAAGTCTTCTTGCRCTTGCTTCACCTCATCGAAGAGTTTCTTCGGAAAAGGAGTAGGGAAMAGCATAAAAGGCGCGTGATCGAAATTTCCCGGCGTCTTTTTTGACTGCAGTAAAGCGCCGTTCATCAAGGCATAGTCTTTGGAATTTCTAACCAGGTAATTCAACCGTTCTTCAGTGAGATTTTCACTACCAAAATGTAGCTTCAAATCCATCACAGATATAAATAGGTTTGTAGGTTTTATTATAAAGARCAGCTTTGAATCCGTGCGTGGTGACTCACTCGGTTCAAAGATAAGAGCGATTGTTTTAAAATGCTCATAATTAATGAAATGTCATATTTCTGTCGCGACCACTTCAATATGATTTTAATAATAATTTTCATCGATCGAAATAAATTTAATAATTATCTACTAAAATAAAAACGTATTATTCATCAATGCTTTGAARATGCATGACCATGATTACGTTGCAGAATTTGACTCTTTAAAAAAACCAAACATTGAAAATACGAAATTATTTTAGTAATCCTTTTCTTTTAACGGTCAAAAAAGAAAAAAAGAAAAAAAAAAAAAAGAAAAGAAAAAGAAAAAGAAGAAGAAGAAGAAGAAAAAAACGGTGTGCTTTTCACATGACGTCACGTGTAAGCTAAAAATAATGAACAACTATTTACTATGATAATATTTATTTCTGTAGTGACAATATTGAGCTATTKTCCGATATCTCAAGGTCAAAAGCTCGCAGAGAGAGAAGTTAGCGTTTTTGAACGCTATTTCACTAGGAATTTCGATTGTACAATACAATTTTATTTAACTTTAATTAAATAAGTTGCACATTTTTCAATTCGTGTCTAAAAACGAGTGATAGCACGAGTGTCAGCGAAGTACTAGATTGAAATGTTTAAAGTAAACAAGAAAGGCGTATTCATATACTCAGCCATACGACATCCATAATAAATTCGCATAGGTTTCTTTCACAATATTTTATATTCTCATATATTACATCAACGTCACTCTATTACAAATTTACACTAGCTCTTTTTAACTTCCATGTTAACAGATTGCTCCGACACTCACGATACCATTTTTAATACCAGTCTCTTAGTTCTGGTGCCGTCCCAGATGACTGGAAGCTAGCAATCATTTTACCCGACTACGAAAAGGGCGACAAAGATCTCAAGATGAAAACTATCGATGTAACTACCAATTTAACTCTTATCGATAGTTTCAAAGGTCCTAGAACGATGCATCATTAGCCGACATACAAGATCATGTACTGGCGTCAAACYATACACAGCAGGGCTTCTTACCAAGCAGACTAACGCCGTTTATTTAGACATGTCAAAAGCCTTTGATAAAGTGAATAAAGCTGCCTTGATCAGGATCCTTTATTTATTGCTTCTATTCTGTGTTATTAATACGAATCAGGGCATTTATATCTGATTTGCTATATTGTTCGTTTTGTCGTTTCAGGTGAGGTATATTGTAACTCAAGCAGAACTWAAGTTAATCACGATGAAGTGAAAATTTTAAAAGGGAGTAGTTAGCATTGTTTCGGTAATTGATAGATAACGAGGTTGAAATCACAACAAATAAGGGACCTTCGTCCAAAGTTGGAAATATCAAGCAATCATTGGACAAGGTTTATCAAAATATAGGGATTAGTTAGTGGCCAGCAATCGAGCAATTATTTGCCGATGAATGCAGACACTAACGAATCAAGATATCTCGCGATAACCGAGTTCAGTAATTGTTTTATCTTTCAAATCATTTTCCCGTTTTCTTTTTGTGCTCTAGTGGTTCTTCAGTGTTATCTATCAGCCATACCAAGTCACAGATAAGCGAGCCATGTTGGCAAATGCAACGTTACTGCGCACGAGCAGACTATTATTTGCAGTAAAACGGCCGCCTTGCATTGTAATGCGCAAGTACTATGTCCTTATTGACTTAGTGGGAGGGCCATACATATACGGGAAAATATGAGGCAAAACATAAGTGCAGGAAGACTTGAATCCACTTTTCGTATAAATGTAAACTAAAAACACGAATTCCTGAAAGTATCGCTACGAGCACCAGTAAATACTCGTTTTGAAAGTTATGTAGTGTTTAACTTTTAACAAACATTTTAAACGAGTGTAGTTATAACTATAGTAGTCAAATATAAAGAATACTGCTAAATATGACCAATGAAAATAAATAAATAATAATGTTACCGAAAGCGAAATGGCTTTTTGCTTATTCCAAACCCGCTTTGAAACCCTATTTATATATAAYGTGACTTCGAGTTTCAGTTTCAAACAGATCACATCTATCTATGAGGCATAGCTCACCCGACGCCACGCTCCAAAGTTGTTTTTGATATAATGCTCGGAAATTATAGTTTGCTGTATCTGTTGAGCATGGTCATCGTTTCTGGAGGTAACATATTTTTTTTAGACAGTTATACGTTGTGTAATAAACTTTTCTTCATAGACATAAATCAGAGATTGTTGTAAACTGTAGCCCCATAAAAA